TCTTCTCTTTGGTCGTTTCACGGTCCGGGATGGCAGCCAGCCTTCTCTTCGTGCTGCCGCGTGGTCGACCTGCGGTAATGGGCCCGCTATCAACGACGCTCATCGGCGAAGAAGGTGCTGGTGGAAGGGATACGGCACGGGGTCCGAGCTGCGGGGCACGAGGGCTCGATTTATCGGCTGGTATGTCTTCGTGTCTCGACTGCGTTGCTGCAATTGGGTCGCTCTCTGACTGACCTTCACCCAGACCTAGATCATGGCCCTGGTCCACAAAAAATGGGCCGAACAGGCGCTGTCGCTTTGAGAAACCCCCGGGTGTTTCTGCCAGAGGAACCGATTCCCCTCGATAACCTCGCCGGGTCGGGGTGACCGGAGACAGGTATCGCTTTGCCCTTACAGGCGTCGTAAATGGCTCGCTGTTATCAGCCATTTGAGGAGGTAAGATGTCTTGTACCATGTCGTCGGCACCTGGAATAACACCGTCCTTGATTACAGGCATTTTTCACCGTTTACTGAGCACAGTACGCGCGGTGTAGACGAGGAAACAGGAGGCACTGTCGCGGCGCGGCGCGTTAATATATTTCTTTGCTTGAAGTTGCTTCAGCACTTTAGAATTGCTGTGGCACTTCTACTCTTCTATATCGCGGCGCGAAACTTCGTGAGCTCCGTAACGAGTACAGTACGATGGATTCTGTCTCTTCAGAAATGCGATTCGCAGAGTTTGAAATTTCAAGGTCGTCGGATTTTTCTAAGTCCATTTTATTCTGGTCATGTGATAGCCGGAAGGCATTCGGAACTTTGACCGTCCCAAACGACGAGATTTAACTCCAGTCCCAAATCCGAGCTACGAAACGACTATCTTTCGCAGCGTAGTTTTTGCGACTGGTTCGAGTCTACATCTTGACCTCGCTGCACTGACTTGCTTCTGCCCTACAACTTGCGCAGCTCAGCAGATCAATTTCAACATCAAAATTTGCTAAGGCGGTTTTCTGGGCTAGCTTGAACACACCGTGCTTATAATCCGGAGAGGCGATTATCATGGCATTTCCAGGTGCGTTATACGGGAATACGCGCCGCTCATCGCCTGACAGGCCTCCAAATGAACGAAGCTCGCGAGCATGTTATCAAGACATTCGAGAAACTAGTCGAGCTGTTACCAGTTTCTGAAAGGACAAAGGTGCGAGTTCTATGTAGTCCAGCTCCCCTTTCTATGCAATTGATCTCCGCGACACCCAGCCCCAAATCATACTGCTCGCAGGCGAAGACACTCCCTACCGAAACGACACGGACAGAGAAATTGTATTCCGTCAGGAGTCCAATTTCTTCTATCTTACTGGATGCGCCCTGCCGTCGTCTTATGTCCTGTTAGCATACCAACCGGGGACATCGCTTGCAAAGGCGCCCTCCGCAGAGCTCTTCATACCGAAGGCCGAGCCAGCAGACATCATGTGGAGCGTACCGCCCCCAGAGCTCTCTGCTGCTCAGTCACTATACGACGCGAGTAACGTAGCCCACACGACTGAGCTAGGTGCAAGCATCGCGAAGCACCTAAAGGCATTCCCGGATGCGCTGTTCCACACGCTCCCCCGCGATTCGCCGCTCTTCCCCGTCCTCCCTGCTGCGCATACGAATCCCATAGTCGCTGAGGGTGCGATATCGGATGCGTATCTCCTCCCTGCTCTGCATCATGCGCGTCTGATCAAGACGCCCGCGGAGATCGCGCTAATTCGCCAGGCAAATGCGATCAGCTCGCGTGCCCACGAAGTCGTTATGCGCATGCTGGGACAAGCTGTGCGCGGCGAAATTCGGAAGGGGCCTGGTGCGGGCACGAACAGGCCTCTCTTGCCTGGAGAGTGGCTTATTGAGAAGGAGCCAGAAGCAGAAGCAGTGTTTGTTGCATCGTGCCGACGCGAAGGGTTAGTGTGAATCCACCTGTCGGTCGCGCGGTAATTTTACTGATATCTCATTATTTGCGTAGAGCGGTACACCAGGCGTATTTGCCAATCGTGGCAGCATCCACACGGGCGTCGACGCTGCACTATTGCTGCAATGACCGCGAGTTTGCATGGGGTCCCGTGGGTCCCGATGACCACCACAATCACGACGAATTCGCGCACGGAAAGGAGAAACAACTCCTTCCGCAAGTTTTGCTGATCGATGCCGGGTGCGAATGGGATAACTACGCTAGTGATAGTACGTACATGCATACGTGCTTATCACAGCGGACCATCCTACTGACCGTTTACGGTGTCCAGTAACACGAACGATGCCTGTAGGAAACGGAGGGAAATTCACCCCGGAGGCGCGGGACATTTATGAATTGGTGCTAGACATGCAAAAGGTGACGCATTCCAAATATGCGGTGATTCATCTGTTAAATTTTTCATAGGCATCTTTCTCTATCATAAAACCGGGCGTGCACTGGGATAGCGTGCAATACCTCTGCCATCGCATCCTCGTCCGGAGGTTCTTGAAGCTCGGTATCTTCCGGAGCTCAGGCGCTAGCGACGAGGACGCGGAAGCAGCCATCTTGCAATCCGGCGTGAGCGCAGCCTTTTTCCCGCACGGCCTCGGACACAGTCTGGGCATGGACGTGCACGACGTGCCAAGTGCGAGCAAGCCCGAGAAGAATGCTACGATCGGGGAGCTGAAGGGCCACGAAAGCTTCTACACGTACTTGCGATTGCGATTGCCGCTCGAAGAGGGTATGGTTGTGGTGAGTCGCTTCCAGAGTCTTGACCGGTTACGTCCGCTGATACAGGGCCACAGACTGTGGAACCGGGATGCTACTTCTCGCCTCACCTTCTCGCCCCTCACTTCAACTCCTCGGACCCGTCGCCGTTCATTGATCGCGCAGTCCTAGCGCGTTACGAGAGCGTAGGGGGCGTGCGGATCGAGGACGTCGTCTTGATCACGTCGGACGGGTATGAGAATTTGACCACCGTCGGGAGCGCAACGGAATGGGTGGAAGGTGTCTGCTCTGGGTCTCTCTGAGATGAAACGGTCGCGCCAATCCTTCGAACCGCACTACATGTACTTCGACTCTGAATTGTACTCCAAAGTTGTAAGTGTATCATTGAGCTTTCCGTGTCAGCATACGTAGGATCAGTATTCAATTGTGTTCCATCATATACATGCTCGTGTACTCGTAGTAATACATTTCGTAGACCTCTGCGAGTTTGACATTGACCACCGGCATCACATTCAGCATCTACTCACCGTCAACCAATTTATCCAGGTCGATAGACTGGCCTCCACTTGTCAGCCCAGCCTGGATGAAGGCAACGTCCCACAGAGCAGCGCGTGGCTCTCCAATGCCTTTGATGCTACCTTCTTCGCCCCTCACGACTTCAAAGAAAGCTTTCAGTTCCGCCTCCACCCCCTGCATGGTGTCTTCAAAGACTTCCTCGACGTCCTGCTTAACGTCGTCAGATCCTTTCTTCCTGACGACAACGCGAGTCCGGAGGCAGTTGGTAGCCTCAGGCTCCTTCGACTTCGCTATCGAGATGAACAGATATCCCTGAGTGTCAGTTATGGTGATCCCGTTCGATGTGCCTAAGGAGGCGCTGGGAGCGGCAAACGACAACTCGAAGATGCCTAGTACGGCCTCTTTGGAGCCCTCTTTGCCGGAGCGTGCGATAGCGTGAATCGTGTCATGAGGTTCGAGGTACGATTTGACGAGAGACGCATAGGCCGAGAGACTTTTCGGCAGTATGGGAAGAATGGTGCGTAATGCAGCGGCAGAGTGTACACCTCCGTCCAGCTAAACGCATAAACATCAGTTACAATTCACATCCGAGTACATGTACACCTACCAAAAATCCGCCTTGATACTACAGTGAGCACAATAATTAGATGAGTTTAGAGCGACGTGCTAATAGAGAAGACCCACGTCAGGCTTTGTTCTCCAGGGCGTCTTGTAATACTTGCTGTCCTCGTCAATGTAATTGACAACACGGCAGTTCCAATTGACGACTGCCCCGATCTTGCCGCTTCGAACGATCTGAGCGGCACGTATGTAGCCAGGCTCAGCTTCATAATTCTCCGCGATGCGCCATATCAAGCCCTTCCCTTTGAAATCGCGCTCGTACTTCTGGATTAGCTCGATGCCCTCGGCGACGGACGGTGCGACAGGTTTCTCTGAAAGCACATGTTTTCCCGCCGCCAGCACCCGAAGGATGATGTCCGGTTGCGATGTGATAGGAAGTGCCACGATAACACTCGTTATGTCTTTGCGAGTTAAGAGTGCACCCAGGCCTCCGTTGGTGTCGTAGTATACGGTGGGTGCGGATGGGAGCGTGAGGAGTGAGCCGGCAAAGGACGAGAGGTCACGAGCCGATTTTTCGGAGCGGGAATAGACTGCGAGAAGGGGTGGTGCAGCAGATCCGAGTGCTGCAAGAGCAGGGATATGTGCTATACAGCAGCGGGGTGAAGAGATCTCAGGTTATGAAGGATCATTCAATTATTGACTGAAGGCACACCTTCTTTCGCAAAAATTCCGGCACCGAGGATGGCGATACCACCAGAAGTACTATCAGTCGACATTACGACCTGACTGCGGATGAGAATAGCAATGCGCCGGGAATGTCTTCATCCACGTACAATTTGTGTACCGGTCCCGATGTGCAAGAGTGGAGGGCAAAGCTAAGTGCGGGCTTTGTGCCGCCCACTGTATACTATATAGCGTGCCATGCGATCGCTGACTTCCATGTGTGACTCGCTGCTCGACGTCAACGGACTCTCCGGAGAAAGTCCGCGCTGCTGCATAAACTAAGTACGCCGGGTGCTGGCATCTGCCATCTACGTATTAGACCTCAAGCAAAGTGCCATCAGATAAGTACTCGAATCCCCCAGCTGACCTATAGCACTCACCTAACCTCCTCCCCCCGGAGCAGAGTGACCGAATTCGAAGTGGAGGTGACGAAGAGAACGAGAAAATTTATATAGTGACACCTCATTCTGACAATCCTGTCATACTGACCACCATGAGTAGAACTTGCAAGGCCGCCGTGGCGCAATGGCTAGCGCGTTGCCTTCCTACTTTGCGTATCAGGCAAAGGCTGTGGGTTCGAATCCCATCTGCGGTAATTGTTTTGCTAGCCTAGCGGAGGAGCAGGAGCAGAAGAGAGAAAAAAGAGGAGAACTTGACGTGAACCATCTCTATGCTGATGGAGGCGGCGCGCGACCCGGACACGCGAAGACACATGAGGTTGTCTTGCTCAAATTCTTTGTCGAGCGGAATGGCACAAGCTCAGGCACTGCAGCTGGCAGTATGATAGCGAGTCTATCCTTGCGTTGGCGCCCCGCGGCTTGTGGGAGAAACTGTCGACTTTGCATTGATATCGTACATGTTAACTCCTCAGCAACGATACACCGATATTTTGATACAACTATGCATGAGCGCTTCACGATGCTTTTGACCTGATCAACCCGGACATGAGATCGAAGCTGTTGCCGTCGGGCTGCAAATCGATGAATCCCTCCTCTCCGGAGGACCACCCCGTCCGCTCCGGGACGGTCCTCAGCAAGCCATGATCGGGTGTGATCCCAGTGATGCGCACTTTTTGCGGCGGCGTCGTGGTTGTCAGTGTCACGAGTTGGTCACTGCGAGACACGCGTAAGATGTCAAGCTGCGTAGAGGGATTGATTAGACCTACGAGTGCAGCCATCGTTCGGTGTAGAGGGACATGAACGGTTCGAAGGACCCGCGGCTGGCGAGGAACGTCGACCACATTTTCTCAAATTTCGCCATGATAGCGGCTGCCGTCCGTTCCATGCTCAGCCGTACTTCGGGGGGCGCAAGCTGGGAGAGCGACGTGATGGGCGGTGCATTGAGCACATTGAGCCCGGAGCCTAGGATGGACGGACCATCCGTCAAAAGCGGCACGTCAAGTACTACCTCACGTACCGATAACGATGTCGACATTTCCACCGGTAAAGCTAGTGTTTATGAGAGTGCCGCCGATCTTGCGCGTCTCTTGTCCGCCGGCGCCGTCACTGGAGACCGCGTAGACATCGTTGGGCCATTTCAGCCGCACCTGCTCGCCCCATTTACCGAGAACGCTCTCCTCTCGACATGCCTCCGCCACCGCGAGGCTCCAGAGGTATTGTATGAATACCAGTTTGGACCCCGAAAGGGCGGAGAGTGACGTCCGGAGGAGGACAGAGAACTGTAGGCACCCGGCGGGAGAGAGCCATACATTTCCGCCTCGTCCCCGACCGGCCAGTTGCTGGGAAGCGAGCGATACAACGGGGGTAGGTAGTGATGATAAGAGGCGGGGGTTTCTGGAACATCTGTGAGACAAAAAATGATCCATGGCGATCAAGACTCACTTGTCTAGCATCGTCTGAGTGCTAGTCACAATTTCGCTATAGAGTAGCGCTTCGCCAATGCCCCAGGACTCTGCGTCGTCACTGAGGCCTTCCCGCTTCCTTGCACGGGTCAGGTCGGCGAAGAACTGACGTATGTCGAATAACGGAATCTGCTCGGGCGATGGGATCGTGCCATCTGGGCACACGATGATTTCTTTGGGCTGCCAGGATGAAGCGTCGGTCTGCGCAGCGAAGCGAGAGCGGGATTCCTCAAAGACGGCAGCATGATTTTCGATAGTCGAGAAGCGGAATGTATCATTGGCATCCTCGAACTTCTTCAACTGGTCAGCAGGTAAGGGAGCAGCGAGTGCTCCGATGATACGTGGGATGATGCCGGCCTTGGAAGGATTTCCGACAAGAAATTGCGGAAGGGGTCTGGCGACGCTAGTTGGGGTAGCGGGGAGTTCAAGCCCAAGTTCTAGCAGGCTAGCTCGCAGAAGGTCGAGTCTCGGCTGCTCGTCCTCTGCGACAGGATATTCCAAGCTCGGACCCCAGAGGACAAGTCTTCCCTTGCCAGAAACAATTTTTACCGCAGCAACACCTCCTTCATCGTACTGCGCTAGTTCCTTGACGGCGCTGTCGCCTTGGACACCAGCGAATTCCTTGTGTTCAATCTCGTGGACGCCAGCTACACGCGCTCCGTCTGCGGCACGAATCGATACCGTGCGCGATACGTCAGTGCTCTGCACACAGAATTTTGGATAGAAGTCTTTCCCGTTGCTTCCTCCTGAGAAATGCAAAGCTGCACTCTTCGATCGCAGGACGCCCTGATCTGGAGAAGAGTAATCTACGCCGACGGAAAATCCCAGGAAAGCGCCTCCGCGTTCCACGTATGCTTGGATCGCGGTGTTCGACTCTGAAGAGGGCAGCTGGCGACTAGACGGGAGAACTAAGAGAGCACATGTCGCGGACCAGGGGTGGGAGATGAGAGACTGAGGAGAGATTGTCTGCACGGTGTAATGAGGCAAGACCAAGGATCGCAGACTCGTCAGCGTATGCGAGAGCGATGTTTTCGATACCTCCGGCCCAGCGTAGATCAGGACGTTCATCGCGGACGAATCGATTTCACGAAGGACTAGTAGTAGTACTGCGGGCTGTCAGTCGACTGCAAGGCGGTAACTTTCAAGAGGATGGCGCAAAGACAGGGGCGTTCCGTAGCCCCTACCTCATAAGTTACTAGGATCGCTCGCCATCAAAAATCTTGAACATCATGCAACATCCTGCCAGTCTGCACGGCCGGCGGGTAAAGTACTCGACGTTCGCGGGCGGGTCCAATTGATGCGCATCATACCATCATGCATTCAAGTTCAGGATCGACCATTCGAACGTTTGGCTGTGTCTGGTTGCTTTCCGATTGATACAAATTGCCTGGACGAGTTTTCTGTGCTCATTTCTTCTCCCAGTGCCCACATTCCACAGTCGTTCTCTAGGTTTACGATACCTCTACTATAATCTTCGGTCCTCCGAGTCTTCGACATTCGTTTTTATTGAACCTGAACGCTAGTTAAACATGCATATCACATCTTTCCGCGTCGTTTTCGCCGCATGCGCCGTCATCTCCGGCGTGCACTCCCTGGCTGTGAGCCCCCGCAGCACTGAGCTGGTCTCCCGCGCGACTTCGTGCGCATTTGACCCCACGAACACAAAGATCCCAGGCAAGTGGAGTCGCGGCTCAGTTGTTGAATGTGCGCTGATTTTGTGTACTTGTGATGTAGCTGCATGCGACGCGAGTGACGCGCCGTATGACATCCCGGAGGCCACCCTCCACGACAAGTAAGCTACCTACGCCGTGCGCCAGCGATCCGTCGAAATTGACTGCACTCGCCCACAGCATCTTCTGTGCCAACGGACTTGACAACATCACTAATCCGTTCCTTTTGGTATGGCCATTAACAACCCACCGTCGACTGGTCACTAAGGTTTCCTTGAATTTTGTAGGTGCCTGGTACTGGGGCGGGTGGAGACAGCTACACCAACGGGTACCAGAAGTTGGTTGCAGGCTTGGGCTACGACGCGTGCTACGTGTCGCCGCCGCGTTTCATGTTGGACGATGCACAGGACAACGCACAGTACATAGCCTGTACGTACCTTTCTGACTTTTCCTGTCTAGGTCACAACTCACGTTTATGTCTCTTCGTGTAGACGCTTTGAACTTCCTCTCTAGCAAAGCAAACGCTTCGCTTCCGGTACTCGGATACTCTGGGGTATGTATCTCCTCGCATGTTTGACTACAGTGGCGGTAGCTTACGTTCTGCGTCTAAAGGGTAACGACGCCGTCCAGTGGGCTTTCACTTTTTGGCCCTCAACGCGTGCCAGCGCGGAGCAGGTACGTGCCTTGACCGAGTCTCATCAAAATCCCCGCTTACATTCATATCGCAGTTCATCTCACTCGGTGGCGATTTCCAAGGAACCGATAGTATGTCTCCCACATATGCCAATGCGACGTATTCTATATGGTCTTACTAACCGTCATCCGACAGTCGGAATAATCTACGAAATCGCGCAACTCGACACTACGCCCGGGTCTGTTAGGCAGCAGACGACTGGGTCTAAGTGTATGCAGCCGTGTTTCTGTACACACATATTTCTGGGCTGACGTGTCGGCTTTTCTCTGTAGTCTTGGCGAATTTGAAGGCCAAGGGCGGGCTCTACAACTGGGTGCCGACGACTTCGGTATACTCCCACACCGACGATGTCGTGCAGCCGGAACCGGGCCCAAACGATCCCTCGGCAAGCTCCTTCATCGGTGGCACCAGAACTGGCAACATCTGGATCCAGGTGCGGATGCTTATGTGGCGCTCACTTGGTATGGTACCTGATGTATTACCGTGCATAGGAATTCTGCCCTCTTCTGCCTGTTACTCATGAAGTCTGTGCGTATTGTCCTCACCTCGTGTGCTGCGCGGCGTTGCTGACTATTCACCATCCAGTCCCCTTCCTCAACTTCAGCTTCCAAGGTAGGGACCATACTTGATATGTGCTGACAATCCCCATTCATACTTGTCTCATAGTTGCCAAGCTCGCTCTCTCCTCCCCCGCCAAGTTCGCTGATCCCAAGGACGTAGCCGCAACAAATAGTAAGATATTCCGTGCCTCAGCGAAGGCATCGTTAACTGACCTCTGCAGTCCCGTGCAACCTTGATGGTGCTACTGGCCTCTCAGCCGGAGATGTAGCAAAAGTAGTCGCGGCGACGTCAGTCCCCGTCCATTAAGCAGATCCGGCCAAAAAATACTGACCATGCTCTCCATAGTGCGGGTGCAGCTCTCAAAGTCGCAGACACCATCCAATATGGTCGCTTTGGCGAGCCTGCAGTGAAGCCTTGTACGTGCATTGGAAAGCGTCCTTTGCTGAGATATATATGCTGACTTCTATGTCGTCCGCGCAGACGTGGCCTCGTTTGCCAACAACACCGTCCACGACTGAAACCTGGCGATCTCACACGATGGCAGATCCGTAGTATATAGATGCACATACTACATAGTGTACATCTCTCGGTCGTTTGTTTATTGGAATTTTTAGGATACAAGATACACTCAGAAATGGCCTGCAGGCCGTAAACGGCAAGTGCACGTGCCCTCTTTAGAAACGCGCTTTCGGGAATTTCCTGTCTAACACCCTTCAACTTCAACCACCACAAATTCACAATCATCCAACATGGAGCAAATGTACGTTCAAACACACACTGCGAAAGTCAGTGAAACACATCTGACAACT